GATCCACAGCTGCCCTGCTGCAGGAGGCGGGACTTAGCTGCCAGGTTAGATCCAATAACAGACTTGCACATCTGGAAGATCATCCTTCCACCTCTCTGTCGTTTAGATCCAGAGCCCACTCGTCCCTGTCAGAAAAAGCTGAAGGCACGAAATGACAAGGGAAAGAACACGGTCAAACTACATCCCGTTTGTTATTTTGTTTTTCACTAAAGTTGGGATCCATTTGATCAATTCTCAAATATGATCTGTTTTTCTTTCTACCAGCCAAATCATCAGCTGCAACAGTCATGCAGCACTACCATTACATGGGCATATGTGTGTGTGTGTGGTGTGGTGTGTGTGTGTGTGTGTGTGTGTGTGGTGTGTGTGTGTGTGTGTGTTGTGTGTGTGTGTGTGTGTGTGTGTGTGTGTGTGTGTGGTGGTGTGCCAAGCCAAGTCATCAGCTGCAACAAGTCATGCAGCACTACCATTACATGCATATGTGTGTGTGTGTGTGTGTGTGTGTGTGTGTGTGTGTGTGTGTGTGTGTGTGTGTGTGTGTGTGTGTGTGTGTGTGTGTGTGTGTGTGTGTGTGTGTTTCTGCCTGTTTTGCCTGGATCTGTGTCATCTGTCCATCCGCAGCAGCTCGGCTAAATGTGATGTGATCCCACGTCAGATTCAATAATCAATCACAAACACAGTGGAGCTATTTTAAGATATGGATCAATGTGGTCATGTGAAGGGAGGCAGATCACGAGTGAATAACTAAAGAGGATTTTACCAGAGACTTGATGTTTAAATGTCATGATGATTTAATTGCTTTAATTACTTCCCCTGAAGGTGGTTTGAAGAAAAAACAAAAGGCTTATGTTCTTCACTTATGTTCAATGTCTCTGGTTCTCTTCAAAGCATGTCTACCTTCTTCTTTACATGCTATGAAAGATTCTCAACAGAAGGGTGTGTGAGTTTAGTGTTGTGCAGGCAGGCATAGTTTACTTTTCCACTCCGGTGGGATGCTTGGATAGGAGAGCAGTCCAAATATGAGTATCAGAGCCAGCAGCAACAGGATGAGGCTCCGCTGCAGCCGAGACAGCTGCTTCCATTTCTGTAGGCAGAACAAAAACAAAGATAACAACACTGACACGTGTCAAACAGCTCTGAATTCAAACTGCAAGCGTCTGTCAGAAGATTATAGCATCCTCCCCCTTTTCAATAGCTTAAAAATCTGTATATAATTGCTGGAAAAGAAAAGCATGATGGCCTCTTCTGGTCAGGTTTACCCTGTAAGAACTCAACATCTCTCCTTCCTGTGATGCATGAAGCCAAGTGACGGATCGCAAATAAAATGTAGGTATCGAGCAGCAGAGTGGAGGGAGGGACAGTCGGGGAAGCTAACAGGCAGGTACGCTGGGTTACCCGCGCCTAATTAACACCTGTGCAATACCATGAAACTATTGAGCCAGCGTCTGTGAGCCGAACACACAACAGACTTTATCTCAGGGGACGTTCACTCTAACTTCGCTAAAGCTCATTCATCACAACAGCATCAACGCAGTCAGTCCAGAGCAATGGTGCATTTAAAACAACAAACACATATCTGGGAAACATGATTGGTATTCTGCATCAACACAACCCGTCTGTTCCCCTAAATGCCAACTGCCTATGGGAACAGTCAAGTAGGTTTTATGTTGACAGCAGTTGCAATCGTGATGATTCCGATATTGCAGCTACGATATCATCATTCTCTGTGAAAATGTTGAAGATGTGAATAGTTGTAAAGCAGGTGGAGAAGAGCGTTTTTTCTGCCGAGGACACAGAGCCAACGAGCCACTCTACGGAACATGATTTGCAGAGAATGGTTTTCTGAGGAACCATAAACCGTGATCAAATGTGACGCTCCGCAGGTACAAGGGACTGCTGAGCCGCTCCACGTCTCTGCTATAAAGCTGCTTCTATAGAGGATCTGTCTGTTGATATACTGCTGAAATAAAAACGTTACACATGAGGCGATGAGTAAAGCTCTCTCTTTTCATTTCAGAGGACTACATGAATTCCCTTTATGAGAGCTGACCGTGCAGTTTAGCTGATTGGTGATTACAAAAGTATGTCTGCCTATGATCTGGATATCTGCCAAATGGAAATAATATTTGTTAATACCATCAATCAATCAATCAATGTTTATTTATATAGCCCAATATCACAAATGTTACATCTGTCTCAGTGGACTTCACAGCTTGTGCAGAATATCAGTATGAGAAAACGACACCCTCTGTCCTTAGACCCACACACTCAAGGAAAAACTTCCGGAGAAACCCACAGTTTAAAGGGGAACATGGGAGAAACCTCAGGGAGAGCAACAGAGGAGGGAACCCTCTCCCAGGACGGACAGACGTGTAATAGATGCCGTGTGTAAATTGAAGAGATAATACATTTTACAGCGTAGGTAGACCAAATGTTTGGAAAGACCAAATGTTTGGAAATGCATGTGTCTATAATAAGAAGATGAATCCACGAGGATGTCAGCAATCCTGTGGGAGCCATCAGGGAAGTAGTATGATGAGAGTCCACAGTTACCACAGTTATATATTTACATATATGTTATAATCCTCTTTCATTTATTCTGTGGAAGCCCAATAACCTGTTTTGCTGGGCTTCAGGTTACACCAATGTCCTTTGTATCAGCATCAACACATTATAACTTCCTACAAAGGCTGTCGTTTTGTTAGTGATGTGTGATGTATGTTTAAAAGACCGATAAGGGCCGTAATCACTGGATCAGAAGAAGAAGAAAAGGTAGCATTTTATCCGATCCCAGCCTTAACTATCTCTTCAAGGGGAACTCAAATGCTTATTTTCGGGTTCATATTTGTATTTAGTGTCTCTCCTGTGACATCTCTCCATGCTTTAATGTTCAAAAAGCTCCTTTCTCATACTTCCTGTGCTGCAGCACCTCTTTTCACCCCCTTTCTGAAACCAGAGCCCAGTCTGCTCTGATTTGTTAGCTGGCTCTGTTGTGATTGGTCAACCTCTTAGAGATGCCCCGCCCCTTAGCCTATCACAAACAATGTGTTGGAGTGCTGGCCATAAGAGAGCAAGTGTTACATGGGGAAGTCACTGTGTTACTGAAGCAAACAAAGGAATTCAATGGAAATAATTCACAGTTAACGCATGACTGACTGCATCCACTCAAATATATTATTAAGAGCCTAGTTGTTTGAGAAAGCAGAAAAGACGATCAAGGCGGATATTCAAGATTGCTGTATAGGATATGAAAGAATGTAATGGATCGATTCCTACATTTCATTGCATTTGCTCCCCAGAATGGACCATCCAGGCTACTGTCCTCTGATACCATTAGTGTGTGTGTGTGGTGCGTTAGGTGTGTGATGCAGGTGTCAGGTGACGTAAAGGACAGTACGTCACATGGCTGGTGTACGTCTCCCTTAACAGTTATAGCTTTGCAAATAACAAGTAATGACAGTGAATAAATACACTTCTAATCATTGCAGTTAAAGCCTTTTCATCTAAGTCCATTGAAGTGACTAAACTGTGTAACAGACATAATCAGTAAGTAAGTAATCAGTAAACATCTCACGTCTTCTCATTACCAGTAAGTTTGTAATACCAGTTTGTAAAAGAACAAAAGCAGAACAGACTTGAAGAAGGCAGAAAACCCTCGAGAACGCAAACAAAGTACAAGAGAGGAATAATATGTGCAACACAATATACCTCTCAAACCTGAGGGTTCAAACCAACAAAAGAAAGGAGGGAGGCTTATAGAGAGAGGGCATTAAGAGAAGTGAGACGTTTAAGACATTTGGAAGTAATAAAAAAACAAGGTAATAGGAAATGTGCGGGAGACGGCAGAGAGAAGGTGGGATTAGCAGGGTTTTTATTATCTCACTGTAGAGATCAGAGACTTGTGCTTAGGGGGGATTTGATCTGAAGAGAAAGGGAAATGCAGGCTGCTCCACAACAAAGGAAGCATGCAAAAGAAAAGACTAAAAGATAGGAATTGATTGATGACATTTCACAAAGACGGAGATCAGGGTGGTCCTTAGTGCCATGTACATTTTCAAATTCATTTATTTTAAGCTCCAACCGCCGGAATTTGTTATGATAGTCAAGAAAACTCTCCTGGTGAATTGTATTATTAGGCCTACATTATTTCCCCGTTTCATTCTTCCGTACCATGGCCTTGCCTTCTGTCTTACTGCCCAACAGGAAATGCGTTTATGGGGAAGTAGATGAATGCCTTTCCTCTTGCATGCTCCATTCTTGCATTCTTCAATTTAGCAAATACATTATTTAGCCATATTAGCAGCATTATTCGAGGGCTGGAAAATTCCATTTCATTTACCCCAGGGTTCATACACTTTTTCACCAATGATTTTCAATGACTTCTCCATGACCTTTACCTAATTTTCAATGACCAAACAAATGACTCTTTCTCAGCGGTACCACTGAAAATGGTTTATTTTAACATGGAACAAGAAAATAAGGTCTGCATATGAAACATGTTGTGCCCATCTAAAACAAATCAAATAGTAGGCTTACTAGCTTCTACACGCTAAAGCAACTCAAATCTCTCACCAGCAAAATACCTCGTCGGTTAAATGCTATTTTACGTTTCATTACTATACGATACAGTATTTATTATCATTATAGTATTTCTATTTTGGCGATTAGATAAAAATATATTTGATGCAACTTTAGTTACATTTCCATGACTTTTCCAAAACTTTGGGAAAAATATTGTTTTCCAAAACTTTTCCAGGGCCTGGAATTAGCATTTTTAATTTCCATGACTTTTCCAGGTTTTTAATGACCGTAAGAACCCTGTTACCCCTCCTTCATCGACCTGTGCATCGAGCAGGACTACTTCAACATGGCATTACGTGCTACATTAATATGGAGAGCCTTCTCAGGTATTTCATTCTCCAGAATTGTAAAAACACATAATCCCATCTGGTTCTTTTATAACAATAAATATGGACCAGTGCAATATCCAAATCGTTCAAAGTAATTGCAAATAGTTATGAACAACTCTTGAGTTTTTTTTCTATTCATAACTGGTGGCTTCATTCTGCAAATCTCTAAACTCTCATGCAGAGGATCACCTTTCAATTAAAAGGGGTTCACTTATTAGCTGATGTCGGTGGAGAACGTTATCTAACACTCCTGTGGGCGTTTAGTTGAGATAATGTCAGAGCACATGACTCACATCCTTTCCAGACACATCAAACCATTCAGAGAATCTCTATGGATTGGAAGCGTATGCTTTTGTTATGTTTTTCCACACATGTATTCATGTACTCTCATGTATCACCAAATTCACTGTGAATGAAGATGTTATTCATATTTTCTACGACTGCCAACAAACCATCATTATGTTATATGGCAGGGATGTGTATGGACCTAAAAAGGGGTGTATTGTATTGATTGATTGAACACACTAATGATGTTTAATAAACAGCTAAAATGCAAAGACTTTATTTTTTGAGCCCTCAAGTATTTGAATGCATATGGTGCCATGTTCTTATCCTATGACAGCTCACATCATGATTATAATGATGCAATGACCTAACCCTTTTTTTTTACACATTCTTACTTAACTTCTTATGTTTATATACATATTTGTATTTTCTGTAATTTAACCATTTTTTTTAAATTCTAAAATGGAGCAATTGTCAGAATACCTTATTTCCTTCAGGATAACAAAGTACTCTGATTCTAATGTATGTCTTTATAGTTATATGCATCCTATTAAAATATGATTGCCAATACTAAGCCCAACAGAAGCAGATTACAGCCTTGTTCAAATTAAAACACCTTGTGACAGCAGCCAAGTTTAGATTTAGTTTAACATAAGTTTTAAGATCATTATGTTCCATACTGATGCTGGTTAAACTCCGTCTAGAGCCCTGATCTGCACACTTCACTTCAGGCCCACTCACCCTCCAGCAGGACTGTCTCCGGTGTTTTCCGTTGTTGTACGAGTGACTGTGAGCATCATTGAGGGTCAGAGAGATGAAGTCCTTTCTGGAAGGCGGATACATCCTCTGGTCGTGGCAGACAGACGTAGCTCATAGAAGCTGCATTCAGAAAAGTCAAAAACATATTAAAAATCTGAAAGTAAAGTAAATCTGATAATTGTGCTGAAATCAAATAACTGAATTTATGATCAATCCATGATCCTGATGATATTTTAAACGATATTTGACTATGACTAGTGTAGTATGGTGTGGTGTTTGCTAGTCCTTTTTTAAATTGTCAAGTTAATTTTCAGCTGCCACAATGTAAACGTGCACCTGAATGAATAGTTAAAACATTCCACTCGGCTTGATTTGAGTTGTTTAGCTAAGAGAAATAGCTTAGCTGAATTGACCAACTTAACTTTCTTCCACTCAGTTTGATTGTTGAATGTGCATTTGGCTTTTTGTAATGTAACACACATGCATACTGCTGTTGATTTGTTTCAGTTATGCATAGCAAATTCTCCATTGTTTCTTTATATTATATTGCTCATTATTATCATAAACTTCAGTACCATGGCAGCTGAGGTTCTTTAGTAAGGTTTTGGGAAAGGGAGTACTTAGAAAACACTTAACGCTTATATCGATTGTTACCGCTTTATCACAGACTAAAATAGGAAAGAGCTTCAAAGGAAAGCTTAATGGAATATCATTTTGACAATTAAATACCATGGGCTTTTCTTGCAGCTAGTAAGTTCACTTAAAGCACACAGTGACGTTTCAACTATCATAACTGTGAGAATGCACTCAAAAATGCAAAGTAAGTTATACAAAAACAAATAAATAGCTACATGGCAGCCCGTTGCTGTCAGTAACAGCTAATTATATTTCCATATTTTTTTCATTTGAAACCTCGGTTACAACTTTCGACACATCACTGACGTGCTGTTTAAACACATCGATAAACAATATAAATATTGCAACATAAGCTGCCTCCCCCTCACCTTTGAGTCAGGTTGGTAGCCTCACAGTGACACCTGAAAGCTAAGCAGCTGTTAGCTACCTCCGAGAGGCTAGCTTGCTTCTTCGGCTTGTTCCTGAATGAAAAGTGACGCTGTTCGGCAGAAGGAATATTAAACATGCAAAACAGCAGTCCGTCCGACTGTCACACACGACGACAGGCAGCTACATGAAATGTCAAACGAGAGAAACTGAGGGAAACATGGCTAAGTTTAGCAAGGGAACAACCACTGACAGATGCGGAAAAGTGAAGAGCTCGAGCGATGATGCTGCGCGTCAAGTGACGTATGCACGTAATGTGACGCTTTGAAAGTTAACCCTTAACAAGCCAAACAGTGTTCATCGCTGATATATTAAACGCAACCTTTTCATATTATTTCAGGTCATTTGTATTTCATTTATTAAACCCCAAAAATATATTTTTACAGTTTTGCTCCATTGATGCAGTAAGCCCGATGTTGGGACTTACTGACATTACAATACAAAAAAAATCTGCACGAAGTTTACTGGTCCACATCCTGTATGTCAAATTATACCAGTTCTACAAGGTGACACGTTTTTTCATTAAATAAATGTACACATAACTTAATTGCCTAATGGATGCCTTAGGATCATTATTTGTTTACTTCTGTCTATTAATTATTCCCTTATTACATATTCACACTTCATCCAAATGAGGTTTGATAGGCCTGTTAAATGGCTCATTATACCATAAAAGCAGTCAGCAATGAAGGATTGACTTTGACAAATCATAAAAACATGTCAGACTCGTGCACGCATGACCTCTTGTGGGTCAAATTAGTCTAAAATGTTATCAAATTAAAAACAACCCAGGGAAGTAATCACCGTTTAGTTATTCCAATAAGATGCACTGCGGGGAACTGTTGGAATGCCTAGTCCTTTCCCTATGTAATGAAATTCGATAGCTTTCATAAGTTAATACTGAGTAGTACAAGTCAATAGGACATTGTTTATGATGACAGTGGCATGAAGAAATAAAGGAGAATCTTACAAATATATAAAAAAAAAAAGGTTTAACAAATAATTACGATTTATCCAGAATATATATATTTTCCAGAACCACTAAAAAGATTGACAAATCCTGTATGTAATGTAATTGTATCAATAATGAAACCTGCAAAAATAATCTGCATTAAAAAGTACAACAATTCCATTTAGATGTTAACCATCATTTGGAAAAAATTTCATTTGTCGAATAATTTCATTTATGACCAAATCATTTTGATAAAATACACTTGAGTCAACAATAGGTTATGTTTTTTTTTATTCAGCTGACACAATTCTTTGAATGAGCTGATGAGGGGATCGCAAGAAAAATGTCCAGCATGTCATTTTGAATATCTAAAAATGATAATTTGTACAAAACAAGGTTACAATGATCAGTCTCAGCCAGCTAAGGCAATCATATGAAATGATAAGACAAATCAAAATATAAAAAGAATACACCAGGCCAGAATTGCATACAAAGCATACATTTCTTACTTTCTTGCTATAAGCTCTGGCACTTATCAGCCTTGTGAAGAATTTGCTAACCCTCTAAATATCTACAGCTGATAATTTGGTATAAGCATGTTTTATTTCGTTTCTGCAGAGCTGCTGTTTTGGTTGAGACGTTAGACCACAAACTCCCTGAGATCTCACGCAAATGAATCCTGTTCAGCCTGCAAACCGTGCACACCCCTCATCACTCACTGCTGACACTCTGTAGGACACAAACACGGAATCCTGATGCTGCAGAGAAGATACAAAGCTTGCTTCTTTTCTCTGGATCCAAGCACTTTCCAGATGGATTGAGGCACAAATGCAGGTCAACAGCAATTACTCAATGCTAAGTGGTGGTGATAGGCACAAAGTAGCTCTGCAGGACACGGCTACTGCACTTGGCAAACGTATGCACGATCTTTACAGTACATTGAAATACATTACAGTATTGTTTGGAGTGGAAATAAGTGGATGTGTCAGGACTGGCTGCTAAAGTTTGGTCTTTAGTTTACATGAGAATACCAGAGATAAGCAATCTCCAAAGTACTCTTGAATTTAACATTTCTCTTGTTAAAACAACAATAATCTAAACCCGTTGTAGATTGTGACAGTCTACAAAATATGAATAAGGCAACAGCTACATTTGTATTTCATAGACCTTAAACTGGGGAACATGGTTGCTTGAAGATCAATCTGAATGTACATTCTGTTTCACACAATATTTCATAGTGAAATATTGTGTCACTAATCTCTCATCTTTGTTATTGGTTAATATGGTAAAAATGCTGATTAGCCACATTTTTTGCTTTTTTTCACACACAGTTCAAGAATAGCATGATGTTTTCTTGTTAATGGCAACTCAATGTTGGTTTTGGTCTTTTCACAGATTTTTCCTTTAACTTTTTTTTAGTCTTCTTTTAATGCCAAACTACAAACCTAAAGAAACTCACTATAGCAACAGCAGCTTTAGTTCCCATGTGTGTACTGTATCATTAATGTATCATACCTGAGACGTAAAAAGTAAAACCATACAATAACATGAAACTCTTAAAACTATCTTGTGCATTTTACAAAATGAGGAAGGTTGGTGCATCCTAAGCAAGTCTGCATACAATCATGTGATTGTTTTAGGGATTAAAGAAATAATCTTTCAAATAAAAAGTTATTCGCACCTTGAGAAAAGTCACCCATCTGAGGTCACTCACAGTACCAACGTAGGGTTTTACTGGCCTGGTCACTGGCCAATGGGACCACAGTAGCTGTGTTCCCATGCAGAACGCATTGTTACGGCTTTTATATACACAATGGGCCGGCTATGACAGAGGCCCAAAAATACATAACAAAAATCAAACAGAGAAAAATAAACAATTGTATATAAATGATAAGAAAAGACATACATTTTTAAATTATTCAATACAAGATAAACGTCTCTGTAAACAAACTTGACTTCTCCGTGGAAAGAAAGCCTGAGGACGCTTGTGTCCTCTCAAATTCATGAATACGGAGTCACTCAAATTGAGAGTTCGGATCCCCAAAAACAAGAGGAAAGGGAGGGACATCTTCAGGAAAGGGAAGCGATGTTCCGGTTGTCCTCTAGGTGTCCATTAGTGAACGGGTTATAGTCCTAGCCCTTGGTGTTCTAGGACTGCATTGATTTGTCAGCACCTTTAGCTGAAACACACAGGTCCCACAGTGAAGCTGAACTGATGTGTCGAGTTGCCGCCTCCCATCAGTGCTACGTCTCTCAGAGGAAGCAGCTGGAGGTCCTCAAACTCAAACACAGACTCCCGAGTGACAGAAATGCTCTCCTCTCCAGGCTGAGACACAGGGGACAGAAGACATCATTATCATAATTACATTTCCTGTGAACCCTAACATTTTTATGTGTCAAGACTTTTGGTATTTCCTTTGATTTCAACAAACCATTATTTTGTATTTCATAGCTTTCTCTTAGATTTAAATAATTGTAAAAATCCCGTAACATACCACGCAGTCTTTAACTGCTCCGACAAAACTCTGCTTCCTGCTGTCAGTGAGGAACTTGATGTCTCGGTCCACGGGGCCCAGTCTATGTCCTGGGTGGCAGGAGAAGGTCAGATTCTGGAGCGCAGTGCTGCTGTGCAACCTCAGGAAACGCATCTGCACCACATTAGCTCCTGGATAGTAAAACTAGTGAGAAAAAACAACAATGTCATGGATTATCAATACAGGCTGGTACGGAAGAACAGTAACAATGATTTAAAAGGTAAAAACAATCATTAAGAGAATGGAAATGACCAAACGTCATTAGTCAAATAATCCATTGTGTGACAGAAAAGAACAATAACTGAAAAAGCTTCAAACCTCCTCCAGATAGAAACCTTGTAATTGCAAAGGGTTAAATGGCCCTCTATGTGCACTGGTAGGCAAACAGCACCGTTGTGCTTCCATGTGTATTTGCAAGTATTTAAATAAGATAGCCACACAAGAGTCACAGTCAAATTACAAGTGTCACATACTGTATATAAGAAACAGAAGCAAATGTATTGCCTGCTATCAGACTGTGAAATTAAATCCCAAAACTCAGTCTCTCTCTCATATTTAAATGTTGCCTGAAGTGTTTTTTTTTATCAGAATCAGAATAACTTTATTCGTCCCAAAGAGGGAATATTGCAATTGTTCTGCCTATTGCATGATAAGCACAAAGGCAACATTTTTGTTTCTTACACAGATATTTGGCGGAAGAAATAGTTTAAATTGACCTCAGCTAGTGATGAGCATCAGATTGTGCTATCGGCAGACACAATCCATTCCATGTGATTTTGCCCATTAATCTGTTAATCATATGTCAGCATTTTTTAGATGTTGTGTATTTCTATTGACCTTAAGGTTCAAAAGCACCAATAAACAAATACATATTAAGTTTTGGTGGTAGCTTTCTCTCACCTGAAAGCCCCGCTCCAGCCTGCTGAGCCACTGAAAGGATCCTTCTTCAGAAAATTCTTCCATCCAGGCTTTCATGGGCAACTGCAGGCGGAGAAAAGAAGGCAAACGTACCGATCTGAATTCAGGTCCTGCTTCCATTTAAGAGACTCGTGAAGGTCAACAATGTTCAGACAGCTCCGGATTAGCATGCAGCTCAAGCATGAAGCAGAGGTAAATTGGCTAGCTTGGTGGGCGATGCATTCACTTCATGCCTATTTGAGACCAATCCATATTATTATTTGGTTGAGTGAGTCACATTTTTATGTAGTATTGACTGTGTTAGAGGTGAGAGAGGTGATTTGTGTAGACTGCGGTAAAGAAAGGGACGATAATAACCAGAATAATAACGTCTGTGAACCTCCTGAAGGAACAAGAGTGGAGGCAAACATGAAAGAGTGGATCCCATTGAAAATAGAAAGGAAGGGTTAAAAAAGAGAATGCTTTTTACAGTCTGTTCACTTTCGTGTAAAAAAGACGCAATGCATTGTTTCGTTATATGCTAGAATCATTAGGTTACCTGAGGTGTAACAATTTATTTTCTGTTTTCTTATAACAAACTTCGATGTTTTTAATCCTATAAAATGTATGTATTGGAACGGTTGGAGGGGAATGAATCACAATTATGTAAATCATGTAGCAAATCCTTAAAAACTGAAATGTGTAAGAAATGGTGTGTGTGTGTTTGTGGCAGACCATGAATATTGGGAATGAAGTCAGTGAATCAAGCAATATTAAAAATGTGCTTATACGGTATAAATCATATCCAAACTACCAACAAATGTTTTAAATTGAAAACATTTGGATTTTACTTTCAGGTGACACATGTGTAGTCCTCTCTGTAGAAGTCACTAAGAAAGTGGGGTCTGACTGACATTTCGTCAAATTGAAATTCAGGAGGTACAACAGGGCTAAGTGGAGTTAGCGGTCACGCCATTGATCCAGAGGTGCAATTTCCTGCAGCCTGTCTCAGCTGATGTGTTTCTACCTGAGAGTCTCGGGGGTGGAGGCAGGTCTGTTTGGATGTGGAGGAGAAGCTGCAGTAGGCCAGCAGAGCGTCCGCCGGGCTGCCCTGGTTCGGATCAATGTAATACATTCCTGCAGAGAAAGGTTAGCGGAGCTCAATGAGATCTGCAGGGAGGAAACGGATGCTGACAGAAAGGCCTGAGCGCACTGGGAGCAGAATAACTCCAATGCCCTTATGTATAAAGAAATAGCATTTTCTATACAATTTTGCTAAAAGAAAAACTTATTTACAAAAATGTATTAAAAAAAAGTCTGCATATTTAACAGGATTAGGACAGATAAGATATAAACAAAATAAAAAATAGGAATTTAAATAGTGATATTTTACATGTGCAATAAGAGAAGCCAAGGCAGGGGTGTAATTTGACTAGCAACTGCAGATTGCACTAGAGATACATTAGATCCTTCACTTCTGATATGTATTGAACATCTGAAGAACAAGGTATGAATTATTCATAACATATGGATAGAAATACCATCCAAAATGTGTTGCATTAAAGCTTATATTCTTTAGTGTGTTTTGATGACACCAGTATTAACATGTTCATTTAACCATTTTAAACAAAAATAAACGTCATTTTCCTGTACTTCCATTTTTGTGTATATATTTCATTTTAAAAAAACATTTTATTTACATTTTTACAATAACTACATATAATATTTATATATTTTTTTCCTGTTTTACAACCTTATTCTTCTTACTCACCATTTGTACACCTAAGCAAAATCCTTGTATGTGTAAACCTACTCTGATTCTGTGTCTGATTCTGTAATAACTGTTATCTCAGTGTTTGTGGGACTGACCGCTGCTGTAGTCGGGGTGACAGAGCCACAGCTCCAGGCAGGTGGAGGCTGGGCGCTCCTTGCTGCCGTCGGGGGGGTCCAGCAGCAGCCGGAGCTCCAGCTGCAGAGAGTCCAGCAGAGTCTGGAGCAGAGAGTAGTTGGGCTTATCGGACACGTACATCAGATCCTGGACAAGGGAAGAGCACAGCAGAAACAAACAGTCAATTACACTGCAAACCGCTGCTGTCTTAAGATGCTCTCATGAGAATTATGTTTATATTGTAACCATGTTACACTTAATACTAGAAAATGGACAATAGACATGAATCGCTTGCCCTGAGTTGAGTCAGCGTCATGTTCAGTGACTGTCCGGGAGGTCCAGGGATCCCAGGTGGACCCTTTCACAAAGGAAATATGCACATATAAGTATATACTACAAAAATAGTATATATAGAGAAAACATTAATGAAAAGTGTTTTCTGATACAATATACACTGACATAGATCCATAGAGTAATGGTATCAAGAGGTAAAAGCTGTTTGTTTTCTGAGCTGTTTTGGAAATGTGGTGTTAAATTAGAAAGAACATATGAAAAGCACAGGTTAAAATACTTTTGTTGGCAACAGAACTGCGTTAGCAACATTAGCTGACATGCTAAAGTTATGTTTTGCTCTTGCTTAATGTTTAGCTGTGTTAGCAAAGTTGTAGACTGGTTGTTTTTGACTGTGAGTAAGTAATAATATTTAAAAATGCATGTGCAACGTCATGGCTGATTATATCTATGACAGCGGTGTACAAGTTAATTTCACTCTGTACTGTAGTGCTGTAATAACGGACCATAAACGACTTTATGCTTATGTTAGCTAAAATCAAGTTTAAACCAAGCAAACTGTGACGGCTAAGAACTATTTACACGACTCTAATCTCATATGTTATTGATCAGATGTATAGACATTGTATACATTTGAGATGTAAACTTACCGGGAGCCCCCTCCTGCCGGACAGACCGGGGAAACCTGGGTAGCCTTTCAAACCCTGCAGGGAGAAGAACATGTCAAAACACAACCCTGCACTGTTCTACAGGGCAATACCACACTACTAACACATTCAAATGGAAATACAGTAATGGTAAATGCCTTTATATGCTGACTATGACCGCAAAGTGTGACAGTTTTATGATTATATGTGCCATCAAAGTAAACCAGTATGACGTTAAATCCTCTACGACTTTCAGCGCTTCAGATAAATGTCTATTAGAGCTGATTTGTAATAGATCTGACATGAAGTGAGTGCTTGAGTTGATCATATCATACCTTCAATCCAAACATGCCCTGCACCAGAGGAGAGAACAACAGAATAAGAACTCATTAGTATCATTTTTCCACAGGGAAGTGCATTTATGGACAAATTGCTCTCCAGTGCTTTTATTTTCTGCATTATGAACCCATCAGCCACGGCTTCACAGATTTGATCATCTAACTCAATGGGTTTATTCCCCTCTATGACACATGGAGCTGAACACAATCACACTGTGCTGGGGAAGTGAATGAATCCAAAGACTGGCAGCCTGCTGAAGAAAAGAGTATTTGCCCCAGTTCTTATAAAACCATTTCCATCACACGTTCCACTTTTGAGCCTACTCCATTTTCAGGCAATCTGGTAAAAGTGACAAAATGACAGATGAACTGCTCGAATTTAAATTGGGATATCCGAGGAGAAATAGGTACAAAACGCCTAGCCTGAATCAACTTTGCGCATCTTCAGTTATTTCCCAAAAAAAAGGCAACAATACAAACTGAAAAAAGAGTTATAAACATAATTGAAGAGGGATATAAAAACCAGAAACAAAAGGAAAGCAAAAAACATACAATAGGTTAAATATTAATTTAAAATGTGGGAACTGTATTCAAATATTTAAGATGTCACGCTAAATACTTATATATGACTTACAGGCAGTCCTGGCATCCCTGTCGTACCCCTCGGTCCTGGTGGGCCAATATTTCCCTGAAGGAGAGAGGGGGACGAGCGCATTGTCAAAGTTGGACATCACAAACACATATTCAAACAAGTGAAGCTTCAAAAGACAAGAGAAAACATAATGAGATACATCTATGATCTTAATTTGTTGTACCTGATCTCCCTTCACAGCAGGTGGACCAGGCACTCCGACAAAACCACGAATACCCTGAGAAAAAGAAAATAAAGGATAATAGTAACACAGTTGAAAAAATACTCAATACTTCTCCTGTACTGTTTTGTTTAACACACATGTTATGGCTATTGCGAGCTGCTTTACCACCACAACTCCATACATGTACCGCCAATCATTATAATATAGTTGTTTTGCAGACATGATGTTGGTATCTCCGTATGAACACATTAAACATCTTACCTTCATGCCATCAGCTCCAGGTGGTCCAGACAGTCCCATGTCTCCTTTCTCTCCCTGAGGACACAAACAACACAGCCAAGCCTCTACATTTACTGCTGATCAGCAAATTAAAATCAAAGCACACTGTGCTAAAAAACAACGGTTCTGACAGAGCCTGAACTGAGCCCAGCGGGCCGAAGCATCTGATGAGTCTGAGTACAACAACAGCTCAGTATTAACCATAATGTAATTAATGCCATCCTTCCATTATAGAGCAAACTGCACTTTGAATATTGCTATGATGAGCCAGATGTACAGTCCAGCTGTTGTTACCCTCTCCTGTGGGGGAAGTGAATGGAGAGGACACACCATTGCCTTTCAATTGTTAAGCACTGTATTTATTGGGCATGAAAGTGCCTTTTTTTCTAAGGTGATGGGTTGTTCTATGTGGAGAGGAACCGATATGTCTTACATAGAATGTGTTCTTCTTTACGCATAAGTTTTTTTTTAACAGTATTTGTTTGTATCTATTTTCTCATAAGGCTTATCCTGAATTTAAATGACCCAGTGCTTATTGGAAACTTCGATAAAAACACAGATAGATGAGTAATAAACATTGAAATGTTACTTCAAACAAAATGTAAAAAAACGAGTGAAAGTGATTCTTTATTTTAAATTGTATTTTTGAAAATGTATGTTTATAGCTGTAGTAGCTAACGAGAAACCTTCAGAGGCAATTATTTTTTTACTTTAATCATTATAAAAATACATAACCTTCCTAAAATATGCTAAATCAGATCAAATCCAGTTAAGCTTGCTCTTGAAAGTGAAGATTTCCCTGAATCTTTGTCAGGTTTCTTTACCTCTTTCCCCTCGTCACCTTGCTCTCCCAGATCTCCACGTAAACCCAGGATTCCCTTGTTGACAAAAATAAAAAACACATATCAAATTGATATCAATTCACCGAACGATAGAGAGCTGTTTCATTTCAAAATCATTTCTTTTAAAAAACCCTTTCTCTCCAAAGCAGGACAGATTGTTAAAAAGACAGTTTCAAAGCTAATTTGATAGATAGTCTTCTATGAAAGACAGATGTTAAGTAAGTAAATAGATTGACTTACGATGAACCCCGGCCACCCAGAGAGGCCGAACAGCCCTGTGTCTCCCTTCTGGCCCTGAAAGACAAAAACATGGTGTACAGTTGGTTCATTCGTTGTAATTAAATCAGACGAGCACAAAACCTGAGTCCTGGTTGTTTTTTTATCTCACCTTGTGTCCTCTCTCTCCTCTGGTCCCTCTGACTCCGGCCTTGCCCCGTTTCCCCTGTGGACAACATCCCAATGTTTTTAAATGAGGCAACAGAAAGCAAGAGCAGACACTCACGGAACAACCTCATGTTTTATGTATGAATCTGTTCATGCAGTATTGGTCAGACTGGCTGCTTCTGCCTATTTCCTTTTTCATCCCGTGCACACACCACACTATCTGTATGAAAAAGTCCTGTTTACGACACTACAGGTGTTTTATCACAAAGTTGGAAAAAGTACAAGTAAGTCCAGAATATATTGACCTTGTTGAATTCATCGCAACTGTGGATCAACTTAGCAATATTTTTAACATTGTTTAAAAAAGCATTTTTATCGCTAATTGTTTACAAGACAGAAACAAGCTTACCCTCCTTCCAAAATGACCTGTCCTCCCTGGCGATCCAGTCTTGCCATCGTTTCCCTGTAGTGGTCAAACACAACATAAATGGTGAAAAAGCTAATCAGTATCTTTTTCACAATTTCAAACTGGACTTTCAGCACTTGTATTGTTATCTTTATATTGCAAATTAAAGGAAGCTCCTTTTATAATGTGAATAAAAGAGCATAAAGACAAGTGTTTTCTTGTCTTCTTTGCTGTCATAAATGCCATTTTTGTTAAATGTGGGCTTCTTGTATAGAAATGGAACTGCTGGCGAAAAACTATATCCCCCCCAAAATAGTTCAAATGCATGTATCAGGAGGGGACAGGCTTTATAGAAAAAGTTTGACATTTTGTACAGATCGCGTTCACACCATAGTTTCACACCGGAATAAGTCCCTGGGGGAGGATTCATGGGGAGGATTAGGCAAATTAAGCCGCTGACGTCACTTCTTCTTCTTCTGCTTTGGATTTACTGGCAGGCCACAAACAACTTCACGGCGTATACTGCCGCCCAAAATCCCCGGCCGGAAATCCCCGGAGTTAGGGACTGGCTTCAGTAGAAGCTGATGGGACTCCCAGCAGCTTCTACTGAAGCCTTCCGAGTAAATCTCCAGAACGCCGACACCTCCTCATCTCCACCGCTCCCATGTTTTATTTTGTGTTGCCATAAATTAGTCTCTCTGCGTTTCTGCGCTGGGCTAATGCTAATGCTAATAATGGTAATGCTAGGATAATAAAATGACGGCTTCACAAAACTTTTTTTGAGTTTTACGGGTCGTGGTTTGCAATCCGCCCAGCCAATCAGACATAGGAACCTTTTTCTCCCACGAAAGTACCTGCTCTCCAGCAGGGACGGAAAAGGGGATGAAAAGGTTGTCATGAACAAATTTAGTTCCTGGGGCTTTTTGGTGTGAACGCAAATATATCGTAGTTCTGGTGAACTATTGTGGGAAAAGTACTCCGGTGTGAACGCGGCTATGCTTATGTGCTTTCTTGCAGTGAGTCGGATGATTAGATGGATACCACTATGATAGGATAGATATGAAGGCAGGACACGTGGAAACTTGTGATCTTACACAACACCAGGGTAGCCATTTCCTCTCACGTTCCAGTCCTAATGCTAAGCTAATGTGAGCCTGTTGGCTGCTGGCTCTGGCTTTATATTCAACCTTTATATATACAGTCTATGTATTCAACAGACAAACATGAGAGTGGTATGGATCATACAATGTAACCATCAGTAAGAAAGGAAATTAGTGTTATTCCCCAAAAAATTGAACTATTGTTTGGCTAAGTGGTCTAATGAAGCACAATTACATATTTTTACTATAATTCCAGCTAGATGTGTTGGAAAACAGACGGTATAAAACGTCAAATTACATATTAAAATGTATGAAAACTTTGTGCAACAATATGAGGCTCTTACCTTCTCCCCTGCCATGCCGTGTTGGCCCTCAGCTCCTTGTCTTCCTTTCACTCCCTGCAAAAGAGGAATATTTAGTTTGGTTCTCCATCAGAAAGACAGAACAAACACACACTTGTTTTGAATAATTTATAACGGCCAAACAAATGCCATAATTATAAACCAGCTGCTGAAGGCAGAGTACGATTTCATCATCTAAAGTGTGTCTGTGTTGCAGACATCCGCACACTTACAGGAGACCCTGTGGGACCCGGGGCACCCTGGGGTCCAATTTCTCCAGAAGGCCCCTGAAAGATGGTAGGAAGAGGAAAAAATAGCATGAATAGAGGGGGAAGAAATGCAATCATGAGCAATGAAAGTTCACATGAGACAAAGTTTAGTTTTCACCTCTAATCCGGGCAGACCAGGAGGTCCTTGGATTCCTGGCAGACCTTCCTCACCCTGCACAGGTAAACATTATTGAGCTTGTTTAATGGGTGTTTACACATACTGAATATGTATGTTATTCATCAAAGTATTTGTTAATAAGATGTAGCAGCATGCAGACATGCATTCTGGCTTTATAAGTAAAGAGATAAAACATGAAAGCCTCACTAACCTGTTCCCCTTGTTGTCCTGGGGCTCCTGGCTCTCCCTTGAGTCCTTGTGGCCCCACTTCCCCTTTCGCCCCGAGGTCTCCGTGAGGGCCAACTTTTCCTACTGGACCCTGCCATGCAGACATTAAAGATCATTGTTAGAATTACTACATTTTGTACAATGTGCAAATGTTTACTTCATGGTTAGATGCTTAATGACTGGGTTTAACTAAGAAGCATTTCAGTTTGATGTAAAAGTATGCAGACATCAAATACTGCACCACTTCAAGCATCTGCCATCCATCCCAAAACAACAACAAGACAATATTTCTGGCTGGACCTAAGATGTGGACCAACTGACAGACCAAAATGTCCATCCCTGGAGACATGCTGCATGACTATAGATGGACCACACACTATGATAGCACTGTAATTTCTCTCTAAATCACTAAAGTTTAGTCCTCCCCTGACACTTAATTCCCCTAATTACTGATTTGTACTATAAAAGATCAAAGGATGTTTAAAAACTGTGGCCTCTATTAGCGGCTACGCTGCAACAGAGCTAGGGACAGTATTAAGAACAACCAATGCAGGGCAATCTGCACGACAAGAGAACATAACATACAGAATGACATTTATTTGGTCATTTGGAAAACTTTAGAGACAGATGGAATATTTTTGGTGCTTCTCGAGGATACTCACAGGTGGCCCCTGCCCCCCTGAGTCTCCTCTGACACCACGAGCACCCCTCGGCCCCTGTGTGCGGACAGACAAACAGAGAGCAAATGGATGGCTTTCCTCTCACAGCTGCACTGTACATCATGTTGTGCAAAATCCTAAATGGTACCAGAGATTACCTGAGGCCCCCCTGACCCCGGAGGTCCTGTCATTCCCTCAGGCCCAGAATCCCCCTGGAGAGATGGAAGGAAATCTTTGAGCTCCATTGCTTTGACATTTACTCTGCGTCAGGTGTGCTAAAACGTTTCCCTTATAGAACCAGAACTGGCCAAAATGTTTACATTGTTTAGAAATGCAAATTGTGTGTGTGGGAGAGAAACTCCCTCTGGAGATAACTTTGCGATATTAGCCTTTGCAGATCATAAACATGCATAAAAAACTATGTAAGAAAACTACTTTAAGATGCAAAATGGTACTAAAATCCAAAGATCCCTAATTGACTGGGGACAAATTGACTTCCTTTGCAAAGTATCACTGACTAAAGTGTTTAGATTCTGATAACGACAAGCAATGTTTAAGGAACCCTAATTTAAAAGAGACTTCTTTTATCTAAAACCAAAATGTGAAACTTCTATTGGATCACAGTCCACACCAAACAGCCAAAATAATAGGTGTCTGTACAGATCGAACTGAACAATGGTTTGGTTTTGGCAGGCTCTGGTCGTGATTCAGTATTAAAATAGGGAAGTAACGAAATGAGAGCCAAGCGAAAAGAGAGCTAGAGAGAGGATGTGCTCAGAGAAGAAAGATGTTGGCTCTTACCTTCTGGCCCTGAGGTCCATCTGGCCCCGGGGGTCCCTGAGAGCCTAATATTCCCTAAAATGAGCACAGACACACCACCACATGAATGTAAGTGTGATCAATAAATGTCAATCATAGCTGTGGCAGTTCAATAAAGGTTAATTGAAAGGCCACCCTGAGCGGCATCTCATCAACAGAGTCAATACTTCCTGGAAACAAGCTCACCTGTAACCCCGGCAGACCTGCAGGCCCCACTTCCCCCATCAGCCCCGGCTCGCCCTGTCAGGAGGACCACATCAGGGATAATCATTAATCTGATATGTTTTGAGTTATGTCCTAAACCAAGCTATTGATTATTGGTGAAAGACCTAACAGAGACACAGCCAAAGAGTGATACAGAATAAAAGTGTGGAAATTCATCTTAGTAATATTCAGTTACTATTTTTTAAGACTATCTAGATTAGAACCATCCGAGTGAAACAAAGAGTCCTGAATTATTTCAGCAACCATCAAATCCACTCTAAAGCGCTGTTAGTTGTTGTTATGTTTTACCTGCTTGTAAAAATAATCGCCATTCAAAATCAATAATCCCCGTTTGGAAGAGACTTTAAAATGCTCCATATATCCTTTTTTGGTCCATTTGTTAGTCTGTATGCTGGTACACTGGTTTTTTGGTGTACAAGCTGACCCTTTGGGGATTAATAAAGTTGTTTTGAATGGCCATTTGGATTTCAAATACTTGTGAGTGGAGCTGATTATATGTTTTACTTATCCATGTTAAAAACGAAAATTAAATACAGAAAATAACTGGACTGAATGAATATCCTTAAATAAATAAAACCATGAGTTTTTAAAGGAACACTGCATCATATAATTCCATCCCAATACCACAAATACAAACATTTGGGATGTAAGCATTATGTAGTGTCATTACAATATTAAAAACAAATTAAGCATTGTCCCAATACTGTGCTCACCATGAGTCCAATGTGGCCCTTCTCCCCCTTTGGCCCCCTTTGGCCATTTTCTCCGAGGTCTCCCCAGGGGCCTTCTCGACCCGACAGTCCTATAGGACCCACTCCACCCTGCCGACAGTAACAGTCTGATCAGAAACTGCATACATCATTCTCAGTCAAACCAACAAAACCCTCTCCCTTCTTAGAGACGTGCACAATAGAAAACAATGTTCACCAGTTTGAACAAACCAAAGTGAAGTGAATGTACCTTCTCCCCTTTTGGTCCAGGATCTCCAGGTTCCCCAGGATACCCGACATCACCCTTAGGAGGAGGATAAAACATGGGTCTGGAGTTGAGTAACTTTCACTTTTCAATTAGATTAAGGCAAGGAGATTTATACCAAAAGATTATTTTAGTTTTTGCTGATTATAGTTTTTGAAAAAGTTCTGACTAGATCTGACAATTAAGTGTTATTGTCGTCACACTACTTTCACAGCCTCAAAGTAAAAGACAGAAATAGCTCATAGCAATGTTAAAATGTGTAAAACCATCCGAGTTAAACAACGAGCCCTGAATTATTTCTGCAACCATCAAATCCACTCAAAAGCGCCAACCATCAGAGTGTTGTCATGTTTTACCTGCCTGTAAAATGAATCGCCATTAGTAATCTTTGTTTTTCTTTTTGTCAGCAGTAATACTACTACTATGATTATTGAGCATTAAAATAAATACCTTTTCTTTGCAGCATCCATTTAAGTTCATGAACAAAGGGAAGTCAGAAAAATGACTTCCCAACTTGGCAAATAGGACCTTCCAAGGAGCACTTGATCAAGCATTACCCTGTCGTTTTTTTATTTTACAACATTTTACATTGAGTTAGGACTCTCTAAAAATACCTTACTACTTAAAAAAGCAATTACCGGTACTAGGAGAACGGTTCTGGACTACACACAGTAAATGTTTCAGAAAGCCCACCTTAGTGTTGTTTAATCAACATTTGAATCCTCTCATAGGAAATCTGAGTTAAGCACTGCCATCATCACAATCTAATTTCACGGTTTATGCAACAGAGATGCTGAACTTTTATTTCTACAAGTGTTTCACGAGGCAACCTAAATAGAAATTCTGTCTGACGTTGATCATTAATGCTAACGAGGAAATAAAAAACAACAACAAACACATCTGTTCACCATAGCATAGTTTGGACTGTGAGGCTGTAAAGTTAACAGCGTGATGTTATGAGCTCATCATTTACAGTATGAGACAGCAGTTGAACATGTGTGTGTAAACAGCAGATAAATGCACCTACCTCTTTACCCTCAGGTCCAGACGGGCCCTGTAAGCCTTTTAGGCCCTCGAGTCCTGTCTCTCCTGGAAGGCCTGGAGGACCAAGATTCCCACAAGACCCATGGTCCCCCTGTCAAACAAGGCAACATAAGTAGACTGGAAACAGATGAAGTGTCTGACTGCAGGCTTTAAAATGCTAGCTGGACGTCAGGGAGTTTAATTCCCTCAAACCCAAAGCGGCAGACTGTTCAACATTAAACAAAGTCAACTCTTACATTCTTGGTGTTTTTGAGGTATGAGCAACCAATGATGAAAAGACTCAGAAAGGATGCTGCGGTGATCACTGACCTGGTCTCCTTTCCGTCCAGTTGGGCCTTCATGTCCTGTTTGGCCAGGGAGACCCTGAGGAATCAGAAGTTCAAACATTCATCAACCAACGATTCAAATGTGCTCTGGTGACCTTGAATAATGTAGATGTAACGGCTGGTGGTGTTTGAACCAAGAGCAATGTGTTGAATACAATTGTGGATTCCTTTTGTAAACATTTCATTAATAATGAATGTTCTCAGTTTTAGACTATTACAATACAATTATTTTATTCTCTGCTAAACGTTAAAAGCCATTTCTTCACACTTAAAAAGCTCTAAGGACACAGCATTCACTTGTAAGAGTAAGGCTGGATGCCATCAGTACATCTACAATCTTATTTATGCAGAATTTAAAGTGTTTTATTTGCTGTGGTCTTTGTACCTTCTAATGTTGCCGTCCGAGTCAGCAGCAGATCATTAGATTTAACTTCAACCAAAAACATATGCAAACTAAATCAGCTTATTGTTTGTTCTAAACACTAAAACGTGTGCACTTACAGCACATGGGATACTCTTCAATGTGTTTCCATTTTAGAAACAGTTGGAAGTGCAAGAAAAAGTAAGGCATGAGAAGAAATCAATTATTTTGAAATTGAAAGCATGAACCCATCTCTACTTCACCATTGAACTAAACAAACCTGTAGTCCATTCTGTCCGGGGGGGCCAGCATCCCCGAGCAAGCCAGGTAGACCCTACAGGTATCAGAATCAGTATTAGTAACTGAATAAAAAACATTCATTAAAAGACTCACAACTCATGATTCTTATGAACTGTAGTTTACCGTATTTCCTCTTTCCCCTGCTGCTCCTAATAAGCCATCAGTACCCTGTGGCCCCTGAGGACATTAAACACACAAGGGGGTTAAAAACCTTTTGATGTTGAGACTCATCAACCAGGTAGTCAGACACTTTAATGAACATATTAGTGGACTCTCATATTTCCAGACAATCTGTACTGTTTAAATAAAAGCGGTATGATGCTAGGTACCCACTCACTGGGATTCCTGCTGGCCCCTGTGGCCCCAGAGGTCCTGAAGGCCCTTGGCTTCCTCTAGGTCCAGGTTTTCCAGCTGCTCCATCAACACCTTGGATACCCGGAGGGCCCTAGAATATAGATTTTATATCACTTAGGTCAAAATCATGTAATGCAAGCTTAGGTTTCTCAGCGTGTCCTATGTGCGATTTATCAATAACAGTATGTCAAATGTGACTCAATTAGATCAATAGAGCATTTCAAAAGGGCAATTGGCAGATGTTTTATGAGACACATGTCAGCACACATGTGAACAAATAGACACAAACACAGCCAGGCTTACAAAACGGTAAATTTGTTTTTAACAATCAGAATGACAGTTGACATTTGCTAGATATGTGAAGTTTAAATCATTAAATGTGAGTGATGCTGTACATTATCTGCATCACTGACTACGTTACGTTCACAAAATGTATTCAGTTATATGTATTCAATATTCATACCAACTGCCTTCTCTGCACTTTAAGTTAGCAATTACCAGATCAGAAAAACAAGAAAAAATTGTGTCCTGTTTACTGTTTAACTTACAGGTGGGCCCGGTATCCCTTTGGATCCTTCATCTCCAGGCCGACCCTGTGAGAAACAACAACGTGCTCAAGTCACTGGATGATAAGAAAACAGAAATTGAAAATCCAGTCTGATAGTTATGAGTTTCCCAGTGTATTCATTAGTTCTGTTAGACTGGATCTCAGCAGTGAATATACACTATTCTCAGTGGCGGCCGACCCATAGGGGCGCCGCCCCCCCTCTTCCCACATTAAAAATAAAAAAATATATATACAGTATATATTTAAAAAATATTTTTTATTTTTATTTTTAATAAACAAGGTAAATATTATTGTGCGTTAGCATTTTTTCGCTCAAGGCTCATTTAGACGCTTCTTGTAAGACTTGTGTTTTGTTTCGGTAAACATGATTCATATCATCAGTTAGCTGAGTTTCTTAAATGAGTAGGACATGAATAGTTTATTACATTTTAAGAAGCCCTGAGACACAGTTTCGTGAAAAAAAAAACGGGGGGAAAAGCCCCTTAACAGGTTAAATGGGAATTAAATAATTTAAAGTCATTTTGAGCGTTCCCAGAGCCCCGGTGTTCTGCAGTTTGTGTGGGCCTACTGTACTGTTGCACAGTTTATACTGTAGAAACTATGTCCAGGACAAGGTGTTTGGAAGTTTTGGAAGATTCATAGCTAACCACACTGAAGATTATGGAGGTATTGATCAGTCTTCTCATATTTTTAAGCCTCAATTTGTCCTTCCCAAAAGCCCCAGGCATTGCAACAACATGTAAGAAAAGCACAATATGTAGTTCTCTCTTACTTAATGCACACGCTTTTCCATTAAAGGTCTCTCTCACCTGAGGTCCCCGGGGCCCCTTTTCTCCAGAAGGACCTGGGAATCCCTGACGAAGAAAAACAGACACAGCAAGTCAGAACATGCTTATTGTTAACACCTTAGTCTGAGCACAAAATACCATTTGTATAAGCTAAATAAAGGTATATCATTTGTACCCACCCACCTGTACCTGTTAAACATTTCAAAACTGCACAGAAGAAAAGTCTCTGTTGGTCTAACAAAATGATTCTAAATATTCAATACAAATAATTGCTAATTTCAAGCACTCCACAAACTGTGGCAAAAAAGATAGAAGTGCTTCTTTTTCACTATACAAGTTTGTTTTCTTCTTGTGTAATACAAATATACCTAAAGATTGTCGTGTTTGATGCCGTTTAGACACATTTTCTAACCCTTTTGAGGTTACTTATGAACAGACATAGTCATGCCCACTTTCTGAAGTTTGGAGGCAAGAATGGAGGGAGTTGGCATCCTTTTCTTGTACTCATGTGTAACTTGAAACTTTATGTAGGTGTGCATTAAATGCCCTGATGCATTAGTTATTTCTATATTATTATTAGTGATGAATATAAACATCCAACTAACTATGACAAATATCCTTTCTGTGTTGGGGACGTATTTTCCTGGCCCCATAACTTTGACTTTTTTTGATCAGTTTATCAGGTTATACTTTCCTGTCTGAGACCAGGCAGCTGTAGCCTTGGCTGCTGTGCTCTCAGTGTTTTGTCTCCCTGTTCCTGCCTGTTGGCGTCAGCTGATAGGGGTGTTATGGTTATATCTTGTTATCCACAATGTTGATTATTCTCTCAGAACCAGCTAAATACATGGGTCTGGGGTAGAGATCTTCAGAATTGGTTTGGCATCCGTTGGGTCAACTCGTGGCTCAGCACGTCTTGTGAATTCTCCGGCCAAAGCTCCAAATAAACCATCAGTGTTTGCCATCAAAGTTCCTGCTCTCCCCGTGTCTCTCTGAGTCTCGTCTCCATTGATTCAGAAGTTTCCATCACATTCTGTATTTACGGTAAGTATTATTGTTGGTTGGTGATTGCTGAATATCTTGGACTTGGATCACAAAATTACCTTTGAAAAAAACCAACTGGATGACTTTTTTTACACTGAACAGATAATCATAGGTTAACAGATGTTTTTACTTTTGGACAACAAGGTTTGGCCATCTCTACTATTTAGAAATCGAATTACATTTGATCCACTCTGACAAGTGTGGACCTGATACTTTTTCGAAAAAATATGCAAAAAGCCGAACCTGGCTCAGGTTTTCAATTTGTCCCTTTTGTTGGCAGGACTATGTTCACCAATGTGTTGCTCTCAGTGCATTCATGGATGTGAGCACAAAAGTATTCAGTTTGATACAGTGTGAGGAATTGAAGCCGGTCACTGATCAATCATCCCTCTCAGCACTGTATAACTTCGCTCCATGACAGATTGATGGATTTCCCCCCAACACAAGTATAGGCACAAATAGAGGGAGGACTGTGGACAGGAAGTGAACTTCCATTAGTGAAAGTGACTTCATCCATGCAAGCAGATTTTCTTATTCTCAAATCTAACCAACCAAAAAGGAAGAAGATGGATGTGTCGGGTACAGAAACTTTGCAGAGTTTTAAAAAACAAAAGTTTGACCTTTCAGCTTCATATGCAACTTCACCAAAGCAGAGGGAAGTCCATCAGTATAGGCAAGGGAAATAAATAGTCGTATTATCACAATAACAACAAAATAAATATTGTCATTGCATACAGGTCTGTTTGGGGACAGGCAGCAAAACAACTCTGCTGGAGTTTAATTCTGCATGTGTCCTGTGTAGAAGACCTGTTGTTTTTACTTCAATTAAAGGTGTAGCTTCACAGTTTTCTTATTTCACTCCCTAGAAAACCTAAATCTGTAGCCAAGTCATCGAGAAAGTTAGGGATCATAAGCAACAACCAGTCAAAGTAGGTCCATTTGTTCTACTCCCTTTCGGGCTTATGTTGATTTCTCTGCTGTCCAACTTTTCTTTTTCTTTTCTTTAGTTGGACAGTTTCAATACCATGCATCCAAAGTTGTGTTTTGTTCACAAATACAAAAACTAATATTCAAAATGCATTCAATGGTGACCGGACAGCGAGATGGTAAGCCAGAGATTCCTGTTTCTCATGTGAATTTGTCAAACACAAGTTTTGTTGAGAAGCTTTGGGGATATCTAGGTTACTTCTTATTGTATACTTTCCATATGTCTTTCTATTTCATAGCAACAATTCTACACATTGGAAGAAAGTTGTAACGTGTAGAACCGTTTTTGAGGATTGAGGATATCACCTGGCACTGATGACAGCAGGGGACAAGCTGAAGGACATTTGACTTTACTCTGCCACCAATGACCAACAAAATCAATCGCTGTGACCTGTTCGCCTTCATCAGAAGCCAGTCCCTGCACACCTCACTGGTTTACTTTCATTCACCAAACTCTCCTTGGTGTGACCCAATCACAGCGGCTGTCTCAATGAAATCCCCTGAACAATATTCAGAAGTAAAATCTAAAATGAACTTCAGACACTTACTGTAGGACCTTGCTTCCCCGCAGGCCCGGGTAAACCTCGTAAACCTTGCTCGCCCTGGTGCAGAGAAAAAAATGAATTGTGTTGTTTCTCATTATTGATGGTGTTTTTGCTAAGACAGAAAGCACATCTAAAAAGAATAATCTGCATTTTCAAAAATATAATAAGAATAGTAATAATATCCTATGTCGCGTAAAACAACAAGTTTGATAGGAACCTTCCTGTTCCTTTTTCAATCGGAAAAAAGCTAACTTTGACAAGGCTTATTTTTCGAGATAGGTGACAGTAGGATGAGCTTACCCTTTCTCCCATGAACCCTGGATTCCCTCGCATGCCCACGTTTCCCTGGATACCCTGATGGTTGAAGAACAAATATAAAATACATTTGTTTATCATCAGTTAATGTCTCACTGGCTCATCCAGCACTACACGACAGTTGGGAAATAAGGTTGAAAAATGACAATGGGTATGGCTCAAGGCACATTAAAAATACCATTAAAAGATAATTACAAAACAAAACATATATTATATCATTTACAAGGACTGCTGTATATTTAAATGTCTTCCATAATTTCCTCTTCCTTTTAGAAGAACGAAGACTTTTCTCAATAGGAAACAACTTACTAAAAGTTTAATAAACAATGTCCTTTACAGGAGAACAAGGTACGAAACTCAATCAGGTAAATCAGTTAAAAACCACTTAAATTAACCCTATAATGAGCTTACACTAACCTTACCCTCATAATGTTGTATTGCTTTGTTGAATGCCCAATCTTGTACAATAGCCTTAATTGAAATATGTATAACAAACCTCTTTAATAATAATATATAAACACAGCAATTCGTCAACTCAAAAGTGAATTATCATCTTGCATTATGTTACCGTAGCAAGTCCTTATGCAGTAGTTATTTGGTAGAAAGCTTTTGAATTACTTACATGACCATCAAAATGTTGTTTAAACTGTCTAACATGAACAGGTTTTAATGTGCGATGTTACAGTATACACTTGATGTACTGATATGGAAAGGTACAGGTGCAGTCCCTGTATGTGCCCCGCTGAAGAATCACTTACATACATGCCTACTGGGCCCTGAGGTCCCTCCATGCCTGGCTTCCCTGTGAAACCCTGAGAAAAAAAACACATGTCTATATAACACAACATACACACGTACAGCACAGCATATGTCTGTGTGTGTTGGTGTAATGGAGGTCATGACCGATCGGCTTGTGTACTCACCTTTTCTCCTGGAGCTCCAGGGGATCCTGGAGGTCCTGGTTTCCCTGGTGGCCCCTGACAGATAAAAGATGTCTCTCATTAAAGGTTCAAAGAAGCAGTCAATAACATCTGATTATCTGTTCAGCCAATCAGATTACAGGACTGCAGAGATCAAGCGTATATTTCCTGGGGTTTCAAATGCTTGTTTGCCATCTGATTGGAAATTGGATTAGACGATTGAGAATACCACAATGTTTAAGCTCAGCTAAGTTTCTCAGATGCTTTTCGTTGCTAAAAGCTCAACTTTGAGAAACTAAGAACATCTGGCGGGACATTCATGTGATTGGTTGTTGGTCGCGGTGCTCGAATAAAATCCCCAAGCTTCAGACACGCCCAGCTCCAAGCTTTTTTTGAAGCTGTAGTGTGGAAGGGCCGTAAGTGTTTCTAAGACACAGCTTTGTGTCAGCTGAGACTTAACCCTCTGTATCCCTAAACAAACCAACATTTGCATAATTTGTTATAGATACAAAATATGGGAGCTGAAAATGTTGTTTAATTTTCTAATGTCCAACAGTCATTTAACAAATCACTTGTGATGATTGATTTAGTCTGCGATACAAATAAAGACCTTTCAGCTTGAATGTGATCAAAATTGTTTAATTCTACATGTTTATTTAAACATGGTGACACGTGTCATTTTAAATAAACCATTTGCACAAACCAGATCCTGCGACAAAAATAAAATGCAATGTTTCCCCCTATATTGATAACACTTAACACACTTACATTAAAATGTTGTATATAAATAGATTCCTTTTTTCTCCAATTAAACTAAAACAAATGATTTATTTGTCCTATTCTTCAAGCAACAAGAGTCCAGGAAGAACATATCGAAGTGAAAAACCATGCCAAAGACAGCTAAATGTGTCAGGAGCAACAAAAACAATAAAACGGCCCAAAAACTGCTTGGCTGTTCAGAGAGTTAAACATTTGTTTCACAATCAATCAATCCTCTCCTTCTCGAGCTTTATGCTTCAGAGGATCTGCTCATCTACAGACTTCCTGCCTCGCTGCTTCCTCTCCAAAAAGCTCAGTTTCACACAGTAGCTTCTGTCATCCTCCACTCTGTCTTCCAAATGACAACTAGAGAATAAAAACAAGCTTACCAGAGAACCTGGGGGGCCATCTGCTCCTCTGTCTCCGGCAAGTCCTTGAAAACCCTAGAAAAGTAAGAGAAGTAATACAAAAGTTGCTAAGAAATGGGAAGAGGCTTAAAGAAGTGAAAGAGATGATGAGACCAAACATCTAAAAGTGCAAATGTGGAACAAACTGTCATTTTAGAAGTTAATCAAGGTGCACTGAACTGTTGCGGTATTGGTTTATATGAGTTGATGCAGTGTATTTTCTTATGGCTTGTGCTTTCTCAGCCATTTCATCGTTTATCTGCCATTACGTTTGATGGGAGTCATGAGGCTACTCCATAAATGTCATTATGGATAATAGTATTGGTGATTAAGAGTTTAATTTAAGACTTTTACATTTAAAATGCTACATTTGTCTTTGTTAACTTAAGCAGTCAATGGAGAAATTGTCGTAATTGTTCATTTGGCAAAACCAAAGTGATAATTCAGCAGTTGTGCATCTGCAGTTCTTAAACAGTAAATCTCATAAACAGTCAAAAGCTGGACGAGTGTAACAATATGGATACTTCTACCCCCCAGCTGTCGCTATCTTGGCAACGTAGCAGAACTTGTCAAAAGAAATACATAGGGTACTAACTGAAGTATCTTAATTGGGACACATCATTTGTTTGGGCCGTTTTGTTTGATTATAAAGCAAAATAATGATGATTTAAGAATAATGATTTTTAAGACAACTGTGTCTTTCCATCATTGGAACAGTATTGGAACAGTGTCGGGAGGCGTGTGGCGCAGTGGGTTGTGCGTTGGTGTTCGGATCAGGGGGTCATAGGTTCAAACCCCACTGCAGTCAGCATGTCGTTGTGTCCCTGGGCAAGACACTTCACCCCAAATTGCTCCTGTCCACAGTATTGAGTATGTAAGTCGCTTTGGATAAAAGCATCTGACATGTAATAATGTAATACTTGATATGTTCAACAATCCAATTTAGGTGTAATGTTAGGATTTATATATGGTCATGTGAATCCATGTGTGTGTTTGCATCACACACATGGATTCACATGACCCCTGATCAGCCCTTGCCACTGTCAGTGAACACACCTGATACCATTAACTGCTGGTAGCCGGTTCAGCTCTCTCCTGTTCATGTTTGTTGTGATTGCCTGCTCATTAATCCATAAAACCTGCTGTATTTAATCATGGGCTGTCTTGTAAAACTGTAAGAAGGGCTTTTATTCTGTTGAACCCTGCAGCGCTTGGCAAAAAGTCAAAAAAGCAGAGCTAGAGGGATGATGTAATGAACGCTGAGGTCATTGTGAGGGTAACGTTCTTACCGCTGCTCCTTTACTGCCAGCACTGCCAGCTGCACCTGAGGGACCCTGAAACAGAAACACAAGGAGAAAATACCAACAATGCAATTTCTCCCAACTGCAAAAAGTCATTTTGGGAGGAAATAGTAAGTATCATCAAATAATAAAGTCTCCTAAATGTATCTCTATCTAATCAAGCCATTTCATCTGAATTAACTGAGAAGATGCCACACTTGATCTGCACATGAATATAAAGCTACAGCCACAACATTGGAATATACTCTCTCGCTCTTGTCAACAGCAGCAAAACCACATACAGTATGTTTAAAGGGCATATAGTGATGTCACTATGTTGTGAAATTTAAAATAATGTAGTCCAATGGAGGTGTTTCGGGGTGGGGGGAGAGAAACTGCCTCTGGAGGGAACCTTGGGATTTTAGCCTTTCCAGACCATTTACATGCACAACAGCCTATAACACACTACAGAAAAGGGGAAATCCCCCAAAGGGCCTCTTTAAGATAAGAGTCATTGTGAAATATGAACATGAAGCACAAAAACAATTAGGGAGTCTCCATATACCAGTTACCAGGCCAGAGGTGTGATGCAGGTGCTTTGATGCCCTCTTCTCACTAACACTTTGTAGCATTCATGCCTGAGGTGCAAAAGCTTAGTGACATCAAGGTGACAGGATGTGACAAGTCCCCACTAAGGCATAAAAACTGGCAGCAGGGGGGAGACAGGCTCTGTATAAAAGGTTCAAAAGACCTGTAGGGTATTTATGTGAAGGACTGTTTCTCGGATGTGGTAACCTTAGGGTGAAGATAACAGCACTAAGACATACAAAGTCACCGGGCAACTCCCACACCTACAATCCCATCTGTATACACTTTGTGTTTCAAACAGATTTACCAGACAAGTTAGTGAGCTTTTTTGCTGCTGATTCCTGGATTCTGTCGCCTTTGGAAAGAGCTAAGCCAGCTGTGTTCTGTGTTTATGCTAAGCTAAGCTAACTCTCCAATGGCTGTAGCTATATATACGTACACTAGTCAGATAAGGTGGTGGTGAGGATCTTCTTAGCTAAGTCTTTGGCAAGAAGGAAAATCCATTTTAAAATATATTCTTTCAATGTGTTCCAACACAAAGTCTTGAAACAAGTGACTTTTTATAACTCAGTAACCCCAATTTATAATTTCAAATAACAATTTTCATGCCACATTAATCTGTTGATTATTTGTTATGATTAAATGATGTATCATTTATGGCACATGTTAATTTCCCATCGCAAGTTCACAGAGGGTAAGGTGACGTCTTCAAAGTCTGACTTACAGCAAAACATCATATAAAACAAAGAAAGCAGAAATGTCATTTTCAATTCTACACTTCATTTTTTGTGTTAAGTACTAAGATGAACACTTTGCAATGTTTTCCTCCATTGGAATAAGGCAATTCTCACAGTGATGTGCTCTCTCAATCATGGATACAACACACTAATGAAGACATGAGACACGAACTGTTAAACTGCACAACTTACTGTAGAGCTGAACATCAACATACAACTTCTCACACAATACTGCCCCCTGCTGGCTAAAGCTACAATTACCTAATCAGAGTAACCTGGACTCAACTCGGCAGTGGGTTTGACAGTTTGAGGGCATTTCTGTCTCAGCAGCGTTTCAGTGTGTCACTTCTTTAAATTTCATCCAACAGCCAGGAAATCTTGTATTCAGAGAAGCCTTTTTCTTAGAAAGAAGTGAAGTGTGTGATGATGTGAAGTGAGGTGTCTCTTCTTTCTATACCTATCACCAGTGTTTGCCTCTAACTTCGGACTTAAACTGAGACAGTTAATGTGAGTAAATAAGTCATGATTTTAATAATAAACTACAATATAAAATGCTTGTATAGTATGTGATAGGAGCAAGTGGATACAGACAACATTTACAGGTGATGGAATTGAAATATGATAGAGAATGGGAACCTGTGTACCAGGCTTTCCTTCAGCTCCCTCTGGTCCATGTGGCCCTGGCAAACCCTGTCAGATACACACACACACAAACAACAATTATATATAAACAAATCCAGAATTTCAGGGTAACCTTAAGAGGCATCTGATTAACAGCTTGAACCAAATAAATAAAGGACTTAGAAAGGAGGATAAAAGCCATTTAAATCAGAAAAAGGATTATTACTTTTTACATTAGAGATGGACACATGAAAAATATTTAATTCCTCACTACTCTTAAGGTCTTAAGAGTCAGAAATAAACATTTAATCCAAAATGTGACAATTAACAAATATTTACGACTTGCATTTTGTGGCCAGATTTATATAGGATTCAGGAGTTAATACATCTTAAATTATTAGCGACAGGCTTTCAGTTTACCGATGGACCCGGTTGGCCGACGTGGCCCCTCTGTCCAGGTCGGCCCTGGAGACAAAGCATTGAGAAAGGGCAACATCAATACCTAATAACTGTGGTTGAATACACAGAAACTTGCACAGGTATCTAAAAGTCCAGATATTTGTCAGGAAAAAGGAAATGGAAAGAATAATGCGTATTCTAATTCTAATCAGGCAATATCAATAAGTCTTTATTGTGTTAATTAAATGTATTGTATTACCTTGCTCCCTCTGGGTCCTGGTTTGCCGTTGCGTCCATCCGGCCCCCTGTTTCCCTTCAAGGAGGTTCAGATATTAGTGATGGTTGCAGACAATCAATATCTATTATAAAACTGTCTTTGTGCTACCTTGTATGTTTTACTGATTTATATTTCTAACCTGGGTGAAATTATGTTGAATTTTATAAGCAGAAATGATATGTAATGTTATGTGGTATATTATGTGCAATATATACTTTATATACATATGCCATCTTTAATAACTGTAATTTATACCGGGCTGCTAAATCCTAAGAACTGCTACAGGATTTGATTTGTAGATTTGATTTGATCTGTATTTTTGAAAATGATGTAACTTTTTTGTTTTTGCATATTGTTTATTATATTATAACTTGGTACCTTTTTAACACATTTCAGATATGCAACACTAAGATGTCTGTGGCTCCTTCCTGCTGAAACGCTGCAAATTTCCCCTCTGTGGGACGAATAAAGGTATTCTGATTCTGATAATGCTTCATATATCTCAGANCTTTAAGACTGATATACAGTCAATTTCAGTTTTTTAAGAAACTCCAATCTTCTCACAAACTTGAAATAATTCCCCTGTCAATCAACCAACCCAAAACACAACACACAGACATATAAAGCTGTTATTGTTTTTCTAAATATACCACATTGGAGCTAACCAACTCTGTTTGTGGAAATATTAGACGTTATCTCTATCAGACCCAGGAAACTATCTTACTAGTTTGATGAATTCTCTCTGCTGGTTTGTCAGATATGCTTTGTGACGGGATATGAGAGGCGGCTCATGAAACTCTATCAAGCTGTCACGCCGTTGATTGCATGGCCACAGTGTCATCGCCGCCCCTCTGATGTACGATGGACCTCTGTGAAGATGGACCGGGGGAGGTAGATGATGGACGCTGATAGTGAGGATATAACTTTCCCCAAGTGAGAGGGAAGCAGAGTTGGGTTTTGCTGGAGCGATCGGTGGGACTCTCTCCAGGCTTCGAGGCAGTTAAAAGCCTTCACCGTGGGAAAAGGTACTTATCTGTATGTGCTGATAGGGAGGGAGGGAGGCTGTAGTCGGGATGATAAGTGTCGGTGGAGAGACTTGTGAAATATTCCTGAGTGCTAGACCGAGTCTCCTCCTGCCCAAATCATTGGCGGTACGAACAACATAAATAAAAAATCAGACGGCAGAGCGAGGAAGAGACAATCATAAAAGCGGTCAGAACTGAAAGCAAAACACCATTATAATTACACAAAGGGCAATCAAATCAAGGCCCAGAGTTTCCCTCTGAGGTTCTCTGATTTACTGAGTGTTAGTGTATACAGACTAATTCATCAGTGGACAGCCAGCAGCAGGGCCACAGCTCTTATTGAAACCTCCCAGAGGCTTTGCACTTAAACAGAGGCAGGGCTCTTCACACTGCAAACTAAAACTTTTGAAAGCATAAACGAGTCACCAATGCTCTTACAATTAGCCAGGACATCGTTTGCGTGCCAGTATCCTGTTTGGGTGTTCATAATTTCATACTGTACAGATATTACATACTGAACCATTCTCTGGGACTTTTTCTGCTAAGCCTAGTTTTAGTCAATGTCAACAATGTGGTGATAAAGGTTGCTGTTTATACTTTAAATTGTTACTGTTCAATGCGTCTCCAGCCGTTTTCAAGACTTGTTTACAGATATTTTATCATTTTTGATTCAAAGGGAGCCTTTTTAAGTAATAATTGTCAGATAATGATGAATTAGTCATGTAACTAGAGCAACATCTAACTATAAATGGCTGACGTTAGCTAACAATAGCCATCAAAATCTTCTGGTCATAACCGGAGCCAACCAAGTGTACTAGTGAATCAGGCCAGATTAATTGGATATTTCTTCTTTGAAAACCTCTACAGTCTTGTTCTATTGACTGTTAACATATGGTTACGTTTCAGTTTATGTATCCACCTTGATATTTTTGGAGCCTCGACCAAACCTTGAAAAACAGCCAAAAATGAAGTGTTCTTTTACCTTTCTCTGCCAGTTCCAGCAAATTCATAGATGCTTTTGGCAGTAAACCAGATTCAGCTGCACATTGCTCGGCACCCTTTCGTTCTACGTGGGGGTCAAGCAAAGGAAGATACAGAGTGACGGACGGGAACTTTTTCCTATGCTGCAAGGTCGAGCAGATGGCAGCCACATAAACAGGTCAGATGACTGAAAAAGACAAATTGACCACACTGACGGCTTGAAAAGAGCAGCTTCTGCTCCATCATTCAAGCGTATCGAGTCTGTAAAACAAGCAGCCAAATCCCCAAAATGACTCTGCTGGATGAAAGGGCAGTGTCCGCTCAAACAAAGTGGTTAATAACTTCCTCCTACATTGGCAGCGGAAGCCATCATTGGGCAATTTCACATTATTCCTGACCAGCTTTAATTATCCTGCAATGAGGCCTGTCATAACCATTACATCATGTAGCAGAGCAGCGGAGCAATCCCAGGGGCAGCATCACTGGCTGAGCCAATGAACTCCCATCTGGCCGTGTAGATGTGACTGATGGACTGATTTCCTGCAATGTGAATCTGCACAAAAGGAATTAAAAGCTGCTCTGTGTGCGTGTCACATGGAATAATTATACGAACAGGAATTGCTGTTCTCTAAACATACACATTATGTTTCATAGTGGCATTCTCATCAACCCACGCTCATTGCACACCCAGCATATCTCGCACAGTTTAATCCCACTCTGTTTTTCCAGTTCACTCCCCGCACTGTTGATGTTCTCTTCTCCTTCCCAGCACTTATTCTGCCACGCGCAGAGCATTCCTATCCTTGTTCAAACACTGCCTCCAGAATTCCTGCCCTTGATAAAATACTCCCTTTCTCTTTCACTTTCTTTCTCTTTTTTAATTTTCACTCTCTAAATCCTCAGTGCTCCCACCTCTGGAATGCGGAGGCTGTTTCCAAATCCAGAAGAGGAGGAAGTTCATTGTCTGTGGCTTTATTGCCATCACGACTCAGGGGCAGCAAAACATTTTGGAGGACAAATTAAAGCTCTGGCCGTTTCTCAATCTCGAGGATGCTGGCTTGGTAGTCGCGTACTTCCAAGTCACTTCCTTCAGAAACGAAGCACGTATGCTTCCAAGCCACAGCTTCGGAAAACGAAGAAGAATGGAACAGGCTAACAAGTGTGCCACTCTCTCTAACGGTTTCAACATAAACTGTACCGAAAATAAATTTCGGTATGCCAATTCCAAGTATGCTGGACATTGGAACGGTCCTGCTGCGCCACTTGATGATGTAGCATCCTTGAAATATTGGCTTGGAAGCCAGTATCCTCGAGATTGAGAAACGGACACTGTGTTTCTTATTTACTCTGATGGAAGACACATTTCAGAGAAATAAGACAAAAGTGAAATCAGTCTGCTATTCAGAAAGGAGAGTGTAAAATGCTGTTATTGAACAATGCTGTGTAATACATTTTGAATACTTTTTTTTTTTACAGGGTACTTTAGGGACAAAGGGCCCTATGGGTTTTACCGGGTTAATGGTAAGTGCTCTCTATAGATTTACAAACATGTTTAATGCAAAACATTATTGGTTTTGAACATTTACTTCTTTACAGGGTAAAAGGGGACCAGATGGGGACAAAGGGGATCCAGGACCCAAAGGCGACAAAGTAAGAGCCAGCTACTTCCTGTTCTCTCAATAAGGCCCATTAACAAGAATAATACAATTTCATAGAGCTACTTAAGGCAATTATGCTTATACATTTTCTGTTCAACACAAAGTAAAAGTGACTGTACCTAAATAGGTACATCAAATCTGAACAAACTTCTCAACACTTGCGAAAGCCATCATGATAATGAACTGGTCAACAGAACATTGATTGTGTATGCAAGTCTATGTTAATCAAATTCACAAAGTTGGCATTAAGACTCACAAAAAGCAAGTCAACATATTTCCCAAAAAGCTAACCTGTCCATTTATGTACTTCTGTACAATGTCTCTATGCCTTCTCATGAGAAAAAAAATCATTTTTGTTTTCTTCTCAGGGTATTCAGGGGGCAGCCGGAATTAGGGGTCCTCAGGGAGAGAGGGGCTCCCTCGGCTTCCAAGGTTTCGAGGGCACCAAGGGCCAGCCTGGCCCCAGTGGCACTGAGGTACAGTAAAGAGCACAGTTAAAATACTTTTTAATAACAGTGATGTCGATTAGGAGCTGGATGTTTTCCAACAAAGAGAAAAAAAAGTCTAAGCTTGAGAATGAACTTTAATGCATAGTGGGTATTTCTTTTTAAAGCGAACTGCAAGAATATTATTTGACAAAAACTTGAATTTGCAAAATAAAGGTAAAACATTTGAATGAACATAAGATTCCTTAAACAAGTGACTCAATGTTTTTAAGTGTGTGTATAAAAGCTAATATAAGTTGATGTAGCTCAACTTTTCACATAACATGCCACTTGTTTGAGTTGATTAACACTGGCAACTTGCAAAATAAACATGATAGCCAGATTATTAACCCACATTGCAGCACACTATTTTCAGCATAATATTGTATTACATGCGCTTTAAGCCAAGCGAGAGAAGCAGCCTGGTGAAGGTGAAAGAGGAGATAAGCTTCACTGATTTTTATATTTCTTCATCCAGGGTGAAAATGGAGAAACTGGTCTTCAGGGAAAACAGGGCGGCCGTGGGTTAAAGGTCAGTGATGATGATTTGTGGGTCTGAACACCAAGACATGTCAGATGACTTCATGTGTTGTTCCAAACTTCACATCTAACTGTGAAACTTTAGAGCCTCCAGCGGCCTCCTTCATGTTCATTTCCAAATCCAAATGTGAGTGAATTAACAACATTTGACTGCAATAATATCAATTAAACAAACTCCTGGTTCTCGATTTGGTCAGGCATATTAACTGATGTGTCATTAGTGTTTAGGGATTACAGCTCTCTGCCATATTTGAGATTAAAATAAAGTGAATAGTGAACATATTATCTTATAACATCTAGTGTGATTATTCAGGTTTTTGTCATCTACTTTACTTACATCATTATCCTTGTGCTGTACTACAGTGTGTCCGGCAGTGGCTCAGTCAGTAGGGGCTTGGACTGGGAGCTGTATGGTTGCCGGTTCAAGTCCCAGACCAGACCTTAAAGATGGAGTGTGGACTGCTACTTGGAGAGGTCCCAGTTCACCTCCTGCCCTGCCGTGGTGCCCTTGAGCAAGGCACCGGACACCCCCCTTCCCCCCTCCCCCCCTCACTCCCATTGCTCCTCGGGCGCTGTACAATAGCTGCCCACTGCCCCCAGTACTAGACTCCTGGTGCTAGGATGGGTTAAAAGCAGAGAACACATTTTGCTGTGTGCTCTGCATGTGTGACGATTAAAGAGGGATTCATCCCTCCATATTCAATTCTAATCAGTGACACCTACTAACATGCCATAACAAGTACACAAAACAAATGTGAATTAAATGATTATGTCAACAAATGTCCAGAAATAAGTACATTTAGGTTATAAGAATTTTTTTAAATCTTAGACACAAGAATAACTCTAAAAGCCAATGTGAAATTAAGCAACTCTGAGATATATGAAGCATTATCAGAATCAGAATACCTTTATTCGTCCCACAGAGGGGAAATTTGCAGCGTTTCAGCAGGAAGGAGCCACAGACATCTNCTGGCCGTTTCTCAATCTTGAGGATGCTGGCTTGGTAGTCGCGTACTTCCGAAGCTGTGGCTTGGAAGCATACTTGCTTCGTTTCTGAAGGAAGTGACTTGGAAGTACGCGACTACCAAGCCAGCATCCTCAAGATTGAGAAACGGCCAGTGACTTCAGAGTCCCACAGCACCATTACCTGATCCACTGACACACTACAAACAGCAGATGGCACTGTGAGAATGAGGATGTTTCTGCAGTGCCTTCACAACTGCTTGTGGCACCTCTGTCTACAGTGTGTGTGTGTGTGTGTGTGTGTGTGTGTGTGTGTGTGTGTGTGTGTGTGTGTGTGTGTGTGTGTGTGTGTGTGTGTGTGTGTGTCTACAGTGCATGTGTGTGACTGTAATGTGATGAAGTAATTCACTTAAGAAAATATTTAAGTACAACTCACCAATGGCCCCTCAAAGCCGGGATCCCCTCGGGCCCCCATTGGCCCCACAGGCCCCTGATATGAACAGGAAGAAAATAAACGCAAAATGAAAAAGACCGATAAGATATTGCATTTTATGCAGACCTAAATGTGGATGTATTACTTTGGAATTGCCTTATCTATAGAACACGCAAAATATTGAAGCAAACAGTCTATAATGCTAATCGTCCTTAATCAGAAACATAAGAGCAACAGTGAATGTAATGCAAGTTCAATAACATACTGATGATGGAAGCAGTGTGTTTGTGTTGTGAAAGCTTCTCCCACTTTGCTTATACACTTCTTGTTTTCTTGAGAAAGCATGGGGCATTTCTTTATTTTGACAACACTCTGTCCAATGTTCTTTTAATTAGATGTTGCTGTCTGAATAAATATTTGCTAACCATCAGCTGCTATCTAAATGCATCATTGTATATGTATTGTCCTTTGGTCTCCTGTTACTCTTTACATGTTGTCCTCAGCCATGCATGTGCAATATACAGAATTAATTTCAATTCTTTACAACTGAAAAATCATTGTCTTAAATAGTAAAGCAGAGCCTTTCACATCAGCTGTGTGACTTACACTTTGTGCGGCTCTGTTCAAGCTCAAGCCTGTGCACTGTTTTAGTTTAGAAAACAAGAAACATTAACTTTAAGAGAACACTTACAGGTTCTCCTTTAGGTCCAGAAGCCCCGATCAGTCCTGGATGTCCCTGTGTAAATGAAGACATTAACCTTCTGCACTTTACTGGTGAAAAATGAATGAAACAACACCACACGGTCAAACGTCTTGCCTTGAACTGTACTCACTTGGAGTCCTCTGATTCCTGGAGGTCCCATCTGTCCCTCTAAACCTAGAGGCCCCTAGTCAAGAGAAAAGTAAAGTGCCAACACAGTCTCTAAACATGTCCAGCAGGTTAAATAACTGCAGCGTATATACAACCAAAGCAAATGTATACCTGTGGGCCGTTGGGACCAAAACTGCCAGCAGGTCCCATGTCGCCCTGGAAGAAACAATAAACCGTTTTACACACACAGGAAGTAACCTGCAAACTCAGTTAGGACACTCAGTGTGAGGTGTATGAAGCTTTACAGACATAAAGGATAAATAAAATAAAAATAATTTAGCTTGATTTTTCATTTTACATATCATACGTTAATTCACAGTCACTCGTTTCTTTCCTTGTAAATTACATTGTTGTTGATTGAGAACAACAAACAATCTAAGGATGGCATCTTTGTCTGAAAATTTGGAAGTGGACAGTTTTTACTCATTTTAAACAATTACCACTAAATCTAATAATCTAAAATAGCTTTCACTTGCACAATAATGAGTAGTTATGGTGTAATCTTACTCTGGAGCCATTCATTCCTTGCGCTCCGACTCGTCCTGTCATACCCGGAGCACCCTGTGAGACACACACACAAGCATACTGTATGTTATACACATATATATTCATAATTATGAATACCAGACAAATATTGTATCATAAAATCCTGTTTGCTTACCCTCGGCCCTGCAAGACCAGGAGGACCATCCAGTCCACTCTCCCCCTGGAGACAGGTTCATATAAGCATGAGTGATACATTTTCCACATTGTGCATCAGTTCCATTGTCCGTATTCAGAGGGAAATGTATAACCTTATACACATCATTGAGACAGTTGGTGCAGCTGTAAAACATGCACAAGACACCTCCCCTTTTTCCAAAGCATTCTGTGAAACGCTTAAGAAAAAGGTGGACAGATATTTACCAAATATCTCCAAAAAGCAGATCTGGCAATTGCAAAATACGACATTGTAGTTCCAAAGGTCAAATAATACTTTTTTTCTTTTTGTTTAATCCTTTGCTTGACATGGTTAGCTTTGTGGCTAAACCAGAAAAAGAAGACAAATTTTAAAAAACATATTTCGGGGCTTTTGATTATTATTATGTTGTATAATTATAATAATAATTCTTATTGTTTGGCACACAGGTCACTAGGTTCATTTGCTGTTGAAGAATAATGTCATGACAGAATTGTTGTTGTTGTTGTTGTTGTTGTTGTTGTTGAACTAAGCCCTTAATGTAAGAACCACCACATGGTAATATTGTAAAGCAGTGGTGTGCTAGTGTGAAAAGCATGATAACTTTCACTTATAGAAGAATCATTCAGAATAGAGCAAAGCTAGAGATCTACTTGTGTAGCAGCTGTAATCAGACGGCGCATCACTCACATCAGGCCCATAGGGCCCCTCTGGCCCGCAGCCACCTCGGGTCCCCTGAGGCCCCTGCAGAAAAGGATTCAGTGTCAATTTAGCAACAGTATATCATTAAAATACATAGAAAACGCTGCATTCAAAGCAAGGTTTAATCATAGAGATTACTGCATACTGTTCACAGTGCCTGTGTTAATACTACGAGGCAGAGGTTCTGGTTTCATGTCAAACAGAATCAAAGTAAACCCACGAATAGAGGGAAGAGAACATGGGAGTCAGCGCCTCGCTGCCTGGAACTCAAAGTTCAAAGAGGGACTGGCTTAGGGATTAAAAAGGATTCAGAGGAGCACGTCTTTCTTTCACAAAAGCTTATTGTTTAGTTTTACACTCGTTGGACGTGTAAGAAAGGTATTACAGAAGAAGGCCTGTTTTTTTCAATGTTGTTTTCAATGTATCCTGTAATGGGCTGGCATGTTGTCAAGTGGATTATATTGTAAATGTTGTTTATTTATAAGCAGCTTTATTGCACAGATAAAGGAGAATTGCTTTCTGATTTTGAGTGTAATGTAAAATCCCTGGTCTGTTGCAAAGAAACTGACAGCGGGGGTAAAGACACTCACTTGTAGTCCGACAGGACCAGGAGGGCCAGATAAACCAGGTGAGCCCTAAACAAAGAAAAACACAGTACAAGATGATACCTCTATATATGGTTGTTCAGGAATGAGTCCTAAAACGTTGAGATACAGTAAGTTAGCATTTTTCCAGTTCTGATTGCCTCGTATTGAAACCAACAATTTTTTTAATGTGTTTTTTGGTTATCTGCCTGAAATAGGGTCCGTGGTTAATACAAGCTGAATTTTTATGTTTTGTTCTATGACATTAAATACGAAAATACATGTCTGTTGACAAGAATACGTAATCTCTGCAGCACTCAGTTTTAAAGCAATCTAGACTGTTAAGAAAAAACTTCATCTGGATATATTTACATTCCTTATTTTATTATACATATTCAGTAGCAGGGTATATGCAGGAATCCTGAAGTCAAATTTAATACCTTTTAAGACCTTTTTTAAGACCCTTCCCATACATTTTAAGACCTCATCGCAACTTTGAGTTCTAACCGGTTACATTGGCAACACACTTTAGCTCACATTTACTATATTGATTTTAAGATAGCAAAACTAAACAGAGTGCAGACAGACTACTGAAGCCTTCTCTCCACATGAACTTCAACCTCTCTGTGAAGGTCAGGTTTAATGCAGTATGCTGCTTTGTTGCTTCTGTACTCTGTGCTCTTTCATTCCAGTAAAACTCCTCAGAAACCATTAGAAACCAGTATTTGACCAATAAACAAAACAATTGACAAAACTTTGAACTATGAAATATGTTAAACTTTGGTGAGCTTCAGCGGGGTAATGCCATATAGGAGCTCCCTCACAAATACCCAGGGGTTAAATTGGGCTGGGGCTGTCCGGGGCTAAGCCCTGTCAACATAAGACGATTGCTCTGACGTCATCACCTCCACGCACATTTTCATTATGTTTTGACAAAAAGGATATATATGTTAAGACTTTTCTCGTTCTTTAATATAACTAGTATTTAGGGGTCTATATTGTGTTGACTTTACTTTAAAATAGCAGATCTTCTGGGATCCGGATTATAGGTTTGGCATTAGACCGGCCCCACGGAGGGACGCATTACCGGTTAAACCATACGCCAAAGCACAAAAAAAGGGCTTCCGTTCCACGCATTCGAGTTCATTAACTTTGTCCGTTCACAACTAGACCGCTGGCAAAGCTGGAAACGATTTGTAGATACATATGTCTAGGCCGTTAAAGTGGCGCTGGCTGCCCGCCCGAAATACACCAAAAGCAGCGAGGAAGACCCCGGAGCATGGTTGCCATGGTTGCCCTTCTGTTTA